ACAAGGTACTGTGCTTGCTCCAGTACCTCAGGCTACTGTGCTTGCTCCAGTACTTCAGGCTACTGTGCTTGCTCCAGTACCTCAGGCTACTGTGCTTGCTCCAGTACTTCAGGCTACTGTGCTTGCTCCGGTACCTCAGCCTACTGTGCTTGCTCCAGTACCTCGGGCTACTGTGCTTGCTCCAGTACTTCAGGCTACTGTGCTTGCTCCAGTATTTCAGGCTACTGTGCTTGCTCCAGTACCTCAGGCTACTGTGCTTGCTCCAGTACCTCAGGGTACTGTGCTTGCTCCAGTACCTCAGGCTACTGTGCATGCTCCAGTACCTCAGGGTACTGTGCTTGCTCCGGTAACTCAGGGTACTCTGCTTGTTCCAGTACCTCAGGGTACTGTGCTTGTTCCAGTACCTCAGGCTACTGTGCTTGCTCCAGTACCTCAGGGTACTGTGCTTGCTCCAGCACCTCAGGCTACTGTGCTTGCTCCAGTACCTCAGGGTACTGTGCTTGCTCCGGTAACTCAGGGTACTCTGCTTGTTCCAGTACCTCAGGGTACTGTGCTTGCTCCAGTACCTCAGGCTACTGTGCTTGCTCCAGTACTTCAGGTTACTGTGCTTGCTCCGGTACCTCAGCCTACTGTGCTTGCTCCAGTACCTCGGGCTACTGTGCTTGCTCCAGTACTTCAGGCTACTGTGCTTGCTCCAGTATTTCAGGATACTGTGCTTGCTCCAGTACCTCAGGCTACTGTGCTTGCTCCAGTACCTCAGGGTACTGTGCTTGCTCCAGTACCTCAGGCTACTGTGCTTGCTCCAGTACCTCAGGGTACTGTGCTTGCTCCGGTAACTCAGGGTACTCTGCTTGTTCCAGTACCTCAGGGTACTGTGCTTGTTCCAGTACCTAAGGTTACTGTGCTTGCTCCAGTACCTCAGGCTACTGTGCTTGCCCCAGTACCTCAGGCTACTGTGCTTGCTCCAGTACCTCAGGCTACTGTGCTTGCTCCAGTACTTCAGGCTACTGTGCTTGCTCCAGTATTTCAGGCTACGGTGCTTGCTCCAGTACTTCAGGGTACTGTGCTTGCTCCAGTATTTCAGGCTACTGTGCTTGCTCCAGTACCTCAGGCTACTGTGCTTGCCCCAGTACCTCAGGTTACTGTGCTTGCTCCAGTACCTCAGGCTACTGTGCTTGCTCCAGTACTTCAGGCTACTGTGCTTGCTCCAGTATTTCAGGCTACGGTGCTTGCTCCAGTACTTCAGGGTACTGTGCTTGCTCCAGTATTTCAGGCTACTGTGCTTGCTCCAGTACCTCAGGCTACTGTGCTTGCTCCAGTACCTCAGGGTACTGTGCTTGCTCCAGTACCTCAGGGTACTGTGCTTGCTCCAGTACCTCAGGCTACTCTGCTTGCTCCAGTACCTCAGGGTACTGTGCTTGCTCCGGTAACTCAGGGTACTCTGCTTGTTCCAGTACCTCAGGGTACTGTGCTTGTTCCAGTACCTAAGGTTACTGTGCTTGCTCCAGTACCTCAGGCTACTGTGCTTGTTCCAGTACCTAAGGTTACTGTGCTTGCTCCAGTACTTCAGGCTACTGTGCTTGCTCCAGTACCTCAGGCTACTGTGCTTGCTCCAGTACTTCAGGCTACTGTGCTTGCTCCAGTACCTCAGGCTACTGTGCTTGCTCCAGTACCTCAGGCTACTGTGCTTGCTCCAGTACTTCAGGCTACTGTGCTTGCTCCAGTATTTCAGGCTACGGTGCTTGCTCCAGTACCTCAGGCTACTGTGCTTGCTCCAGTACCTCAGGGTACTGTACTTGCTCCAGTACCTCAGGCTACTGTGCTTGCTCCAGTACTTCAGGCTACTGTGCTTGCTCCAGTACCTCAGGGTACTGTGCTTGCCCCAGTACCTCAAGCTACTGTGCTTGCTTCAGTACCTCAGGGTACTGTGCTTGCTCCAGTACCTCAGGCTACTGTGCTTGCTCCAGTACCTCAGGGTACTGTGCTTGCCCCAGTACCTCAGGCTACTGTGCTTGCTTCAGTACCTCAGGGTACTGTGCTTGCTCCAGTACCTCAGGCTACTGTGCTTGCTCCAGTACTTCAGGCTACTGTGCTTGCTCCAGTACTTCAGGCAACTGTGCTTGCTCCAGTACCTCAGGCTACTGTGCTTGCTCTAGTACCTCAGGCTACTGTGCTTGCTCCAGTACCACAAGGTACTGTGCTTGCTCCAGTACCTCAGGCTACTGTGCTTGCTCCAGTATCTCAGGCAACTGTGCTTGCTTCAGTACCTCAGGCTACTGTGCTTGCTCCAGTACCTCAGGCTACTGTGCTTGCTCTAGTACCTCAGGGTACTGTGCTTGCTCCAGTACCTCAGGGTACTGTGCTTGCTAAAGTACCTCAGGCTACTGTGCTTGCTCCAGTACCTCAGGGTACTGTGCTTGCTCCAGTACCTCAGGCTACTGTGCTTGCTCCAGTACCTCAGGCTACTGTGCTTGCTCCAGTACCTCAGGCTACTGTGCTTGCTCCAGTACCTCAGGGTACTGTGCTTGCCCCAGTATCTCAGGCTACTGTGCTTGCTCCAGTACCTCAGGGTACTGTGCTTGCTCCAGTACCTCAGGCTTCTGTGCTTGCTCCAGTAGCACAGGCTACTGTGCATGCTCCAGTACATTAGGTTACTATGCTTGCTCCAGTACCTCAGGGTACTGTGCTTGCCCCAGTATCTCAGGCTACTGTGCTTGCTCCAGTACCTCAGGCTACTGTGCTTGCTCCAGTACCTCAGGCTACTGTGCTTGCTCCAGTGCCTCAGGCTACTGTGCTTTCACCAGTACCTCAGGCTACGGAGCTTGCTCTAGTACCTCAGGGTACTGTGCTTGCTCCAGTACCTCAGGCTACTGTGCTTTCACCAGTGCCTCAGGCTACTGTGCTTTCACCAGTACCTCAGGCTACTGTGCTTTCACCAGTATCTCAGGCTAATGTGCTTGCTCCAGTACCTCAGGTTACTTGGCTTGCTCCAGTACCTCAGGTTACTTGGCTTGCTCCAGTACCTCAGGTTACTTGGCTTGCTCCAGTACCTCAGGCTACTGTGCTTGCTCTTGTACCTCAGGCTACTGTGCTTGCTCCAGTACCTCAGGCTACTGTGCTTGCTCCAGTACCTCAGGCTACTGTGCTTGCTCCAGTACCTCAGGCTACTGTGCTTGTTCTTGTACCTCAGGCTACTGTGCTTGCTCTTGTACCTCAGGCTACTGTGCTTGCTCTAGTACCTCAGGTTACTTGGCTTGCTCTTGTACCTCAGGCTACTGTGCTTGCTCTATTACCTCAGGTTACTTGGCTTGCTCCAGTACCTCAGGCTACTGTACTTGCTCCAGTACCTCAGGGTACTGTGTTTGCTCCAGTTCCTCAGGCTACTGTTCTTGCTCCAGTACCTCAGGCTTCTGTGCTTGCTCCAGTACCTCAGGCTACTGTGCTTGCTACAGTACCTCAGGGTACTGTGCTTGCTCCAGTACCACAGGGTACTGTGCTTGCTCCAGTACCTCAGGCTACTGTGGTTACTCTAGTACCTCAGGTAACTGTGCTTGCTCCATTACCTTAGGCTACTGTTCTTGTTTCAGTGTCTCAGGCTACTGGATACAGTTGTGTGAGTCTAAACACCAACATTTCACATATTGTAAAAGGAGAAATGCTTGAAGTGACTCTGTACACATGTGGCTCAGGCTTGGGGTACATATACGACTGAGAATATGAAACAAGTTTTAATGGTAATGACACCTAGTGTAAACTATGTGGTATATTAAGGGCTCACACCCTCACCCATTATGTTAAGGTCTCACACCCTCACCCATTATGTTAAGGTCTCACACCCTCACCCATTATGTTAAGGTCTCACACCCTCACCCATTATGTTAAGGTCTCACACCCTCACCCATTATGTTAAGGTCTTACACCCTCACCCATTATGTTAAGGTCTTACACCCTCACCCATTATGTTAAGGTCTCACACCCTCACCCATTATGTTAAGGTCTTACACCCTCACCCATTATGTTAAGGTCTTACACCCTCACCCATTATGTTAAGGTCTCACACCCTCACCCATTATGTTAAGGTCTCACACCCTCACCCATTATGTTAAGGTCTTACACCCTCACCCATTATGTTAAGGTCTCACCCTCACCCATTATGTTAAGGTCTCACACCCTCACCCATTATGTTAAGGTCTCACACCCTCACCCATTATGTTAAGGTCTTACACCATCACCCATTATGTTAAGGTCTCACACCCTCACCCATTATGTTATTGATGACCCGTTGATTAATGTATATTGAAACACTGAGATAAGGACTGTTCCTGAGCCAATAGCCTAAATGTGTCACAACGGAAAGGTTGATGATATTCTGGAGAGATATAAGAATTTTGCACCAAGATTGTAACCTTTTGTTGAATTGTCTGAATGTCTATTGCAAATTGTCTGTGTGCCTAGTTATAAAATTATTTGTGTACGTTTGGTAACATACTGCATGTTTAAAGGCAGAAATATATATGTTTGTCACTCAGAATGTTCAGTAATATGTTATTGTTGATGTGTGTCTATATATACATGAACATGTTGTATTAAACGGGGTGAGGATAGCTTGAGCCACCTCATCCCTTTGTGTGTATTTATACCTCAATAAACTTATTTCAATTTCAATTTCAATTTCCCTTCCTGCACAAAACTACCCAATATATATCATTCTGGGAAGCTGTTACGGAATGCTTCTCAGCCAAAAATATTCCTCAATTCATAATGCACACTGAATAATATCAAATTTTAAATAATGTCCAAACTATATTTTCATTTGCAGAATGAATAAAATCATTTTTGCACAGTTATGCAACATTAAAGGCGAAGGCGTTGGCTAAATATATTTTTCCATCTGCCTTCCCTTCCACGATACGAGTCGCTGACTTGGTCCAAATGTTTATGACTTTCGTGGTCGTCTTGAGAGGCAAACTGAAAATAAGTTCTTTGAAGTTTTCTCCACGATGGAGACAGCACCTGACAACACGGCCCCAAGGTCCATGGACTCACTTTCCAAAAGTGAGATGAACTGGATTGATGGACGATCTCAACTATCCACCTGCCTATAATGTTTCCTTATACATATATATATATATATATATATATATATATATATATATATATATATATATATATATATATATATATATATATATATATATATATATATATATATATATATATATATATTGGTAGCAGTCTTTCCTGTAGACATATATTATTAAATATGACCGTAAAAAAGTAAGATTAATAATTCTAACACGAATTTTCTCTATCTTTCTTACATTTCTTTTCACTGTTGATGGTAATTCAAAGATCAATTCTCCAAAATTTATTTTTATTTCTAGTCTGACGCGACACTTGAGCGCGTTTCGTAAAACTTATTACATTTTCAAAGACTTTAGTTTACAAACACACAACTGAAACTGAATAGAGCTTACACATTTTCGAGTTTATATCTACATTTGGGTGAGGTGGATGAGGTGAAAACAAACTTTCAACAATGGGTATTGAATGGGTATTCAATTCAAACACAAGACAGAACACGAAACAATGGGAATTGAATGGAAGTAATTGTAGAATGCCTATTGGTCCATATTTCTTGATGTTTCTATATTGGAGCGGAGTCTTGAAGTGGGTAGAATATAGTTGTGCATTAATTGGCTGTTGATTGCTGGTGTTGACTTCTTGATGTGTAGTGCCTCGCAGACGTCAAGCCGTCTGCTATCGCTGTATCTATCGATGATTTCTGTGTTGTTTGCTAAGATTTCTCTGGTGATGGTTTGTTTGTGGGAAGAGATTATATGTTCCTTAATGGAGCCCTGTTGCTTATGCATCGTTAAACGCCTGGAAAGAGATGTTGTTGTCTTGCCTATATATTGGTTTTTTTGAGGCTTACAGTCCCCAAGAGGGCATTTGAAGGCATAGACGACGTTGGTCTTTTTTAAAGCGTTCTGCTTTGTGTCTGGAGAGTTTCTCATGAGTAGGCTGGCCGTTTTTCTGGTTTTATAGTAAATCGTCAGTTGTATCTTCTGATTTTTGTCTGTAGGGATAACGTTTCTACTGACAATATCTTTCAGGACCCTTTCCTCCGTTTTATGGGCTGTGGAAAATAAGTTCCTGTAAAATAGTCTAATAGGGGGTATAGGTGTTGTGTTAGTTGTCTCTTCAGAGGTTGCATGGCGTTTCACTTTCCTTCTTATGATGTCTTCCACGAAACTATTGGAGAAGCCGTTGTTGACTAGGACCTGCCTTACCCTACAGAGTTCTTCGTCGACTTGCTTCCATTCTGAGCTGTGGCTGAGAGCACGATCGACATAAGCGTTAACAACACTCCTCTTGTACCTGTCTGGGCAGTCACTGTTGGCATTCAGGCACATTCAACAGCCAATTAATGAACAACTATATTCTACCCACTTCAAGACTCTGCTCCAATATAGAAACATCAAGAAACCAATAGGCTTTCTACAATTACTTCCATTCAATACCCATTGTTTCGTGTTCTGTCTTGTGTTTGAATTGAATACCCATTCAATACCCATTGTTGAAAGTTTGTTTTCACCTCATCCACCTCACCCAAATGTAGATATAAACTCGAAAATGTGTAAGCTCTATTCAATTTCAGTTGTGTGTTTGTAAACTAAAGTCTTTGAAAATGTAATAAGTTTTACGAAATGCGCTCAAGTGTCGCGTCAGACTAGAAATAAAAATTAATTTTGGAGAATTGATCTTTGAATTACCACCAACAGTGAAAAGAAATGTAAGAAAGATAGAGAAAATTCGTGTTAGAATTATTAATCTTACTTTTTCGGTCATATTTAATAATATATATATATATATATATATAATATATATATAATATATATATAATATATATATATATATATATATGGGCTTTCTTGGAGGACCTATGGCAATTCCACGACCAAGAGATGGCTTCCTGAACCTTGCAGGAATTAACCTCACTGAGGACCAAGTCACTCTCCTAAATCTGGGCATAAACTGTCATGTTATGTCCAGACCGAGTGAAATGGCCCGGAAAGTAGAGTTGGAAATTCTGTTGGACGACATATTCGACCTCGAGACACAAAACAAGGTCACTACCAAAGATACCTTACAAGCAGAACTTATTGCAGAAGGAGGAAAGAATCGAGGCAACTACAGAAGCACCATACTGTCCCCCGAGCTTAAAGCGGCAGCTAAAAGCCTTCGTGAGAACAAGGAGATAGTTGTCAGGAGAGGTGACAAGTCGCCAATATATGTCATTCTTAAAAAAGACGAATATCTGGCGAAAATGAACATCATACTCTCTGACCAAACTAAGTTCCAAAGGGTAACGAAGGACACTACAGCCGAATTAAAAGCAAAGGTCAACAAACTGATCGAAACTGTGAACGCCAAGAAATCCGGACTCCACCTGCCTAAGATCATTGGGGAATATAAACCTGGATATGCGTATGGAAATGTCAAGACGCACAAGCCTGGAAACCCACTTCGGCCAATCATTAGCCAGATACCCACACCCACGTACAGACTGGCGAAGCGACTCAACGGCCTGCTGACTCCTTATGTTCCTTGCGCCTTCAGCCTGAAGTCTCCAAAGGAATTTGTGGACTTACTGCGGGGCGCACGGGCCACAGGGATAAGAGCCTCGTTGGACGTAGAATCGCTGTTTACCAACGTACCTGTGGACGAGACAATCGGAATGATAGCCGACAGAGTGTATCGTGATCCAGCCTGTACTCCTCTTGACATGCCAGAAAGTATTCTGAGGAAACTACTCCAAGCTTGTACTAAAGAGGCACCCTTCTTGAGCCCGGATGGGCACATGTATAAGCAAGTAGATGGGGTCGCCATGGGTTCTCCCCTAGGTGTCCTGTTTGCAAACTTCTACATGGGTACCATCGAGCAAAAAGTCTTAGTCGACATGAACTTGAAACCGGCCATATACTGCAGGTATGTTGACGACATTTTTACACAGGTACCTGATGTCAGACATCTGCAGGAGCTGAAGGAGGCATTTGAGCAGAGTTCCGTGCTGCGTTTCACTTACGAGACGGAAAAGGATGGAAAGCTGCCTTTTCTAGATGTAACAGTCATGGAAAAGGGCGGAGGTTTCCACACTGCAGTCTACACAAAAGAAACAAACATAGGAATGTGCCTAAATGCCAACAGCGACTGCCCTGACAGGTACAAGAGGAGTGTTGTTAACGCATACGTCGACCGTGCTCTCAGCCACAGCTCAGAATGGAAGCAAGTCGACGAAGAACTCTGTAGGGTAAGGCAGGTCCTAGTCAATAACGGCTTCTCCAATGGTTTCATCGAAGACATCATAAGAAGGAAAGTGAAAAGCCATGCAACCTCCGAAGAGACAACTAACACAACACCTATACCCCCTATTAGACTATTTTACAGGAACTTCTTTTCCACAGCTCATAAAACAGAGGAAAGGGTCCTGAAAGATATTGTTAATAGAAACGTTATCCCTACAGACAAAAATCAGAGGATACAACTGACGATTTACTATAAAACCAGAAAAACGGCCAGCCTACTCATGAGAAACTCTCCAGACACGAAACAGAACGCTTTAAAAGAGACTAACGTCGTCTATGCCTTCAAATGCCCACTTGGGGACTGTAAGCTCCAAAAAACCCAGTATATAGGCAAGACAACAACATCTCTTTCTAGGCGTTTAACGATGCATAAACAACAGGGCTCCATTAAGGAACATATAATCTCTTCCCATAACCAAACCATCGCCAGAGAAATCCTAGTAAACAACACAGAAATCATCGATAGATACAGCGATAGCAGGCGGCTTGACGTTTGCGAGGCACTACACATCAAGAAGTCAACACCAGCAATCAACAGCCAATTATTGCACAACTATATTCTACCCACCTCAAGACTCCGCTCCAATATAGAAGCATCAAGAAATATGGACCAATAGGCTCTCTACAAACACTTCTATTCAATACCCATTGTTTCTGTTCTGTCTTGTGTTGATACTTTTAATACCCTATTAATATCCTCTAGTGTTCTGTCTTGTGTTAATGCCACATCATCCTTCCCACCTCACTCAAATGTAATGCCACATCACCCTTCCCACCTCACTCAAATGTAGATATAAAATCAGGGAAACGCAAGTTCTAATCAGTTGTGTATTTGTGAAGTCTTTGAAAATGTAATAAGTTTTACGAAACGCGCCCGTGTCGCGTCAGACTAGAAATAAAAATGAATTTTGGAGAAGTGATTTTTTATTTACCTCCAACAGTGAAGCGTAATGTACGAAAGATTGAGAAAATTCGTGTTAGAATTATTAATCTTACTTTTTCGGTCATATTTAATAATATATATATATATATATATATATATATATATATATATATATATATATATATATATATATATATATATATATATATATATATATATATATATATATATATATATATATATATATATATATATATATATATATATATATATATATATATATATATTAAATATGACCGAAAAAGTAAGATTAATAATTCTAACACGAATTAAAAGCAAAGGTCAACAAACTGATCGAAACTGTGAACGCCAAGAAATCCGGACTCCACCTGCCAAAGATCATTGGGGAATATAAACCTGGATATGCGTATGGAAATGTCAAGACGCACAAGCCTGGAAACCCACTTCGGCCAATCAATAGCCAGATACCCACACCCACGTACAGACTGGCGAAGCGACTCAACGGCCTGCTGACTCCTTATGTTCCTTGCGCCTTCAGCCTGAAGTCTCCAAAGGAATTTGTGGACTTACTGCGGGGCGCACGGGCCACAGGGATAAGAGCCTCGTTGGACGTAGAATCGCTGTTTACCAACGTACCTGTGGACGAGACAATCGGAATGATAGCCGACAGAGTGTATCGTGATCCAGCCTGTACTCCTCTTGACATGCCAGAAAGTATTCTGAGGAAACTACTCCAAGCTTGTACTAAAGAGGCACCCTTCTTGAGCCCGGATGGGCACATGTATAAGCAAGTAGATGGGGTCGCCATGGGTTCTCCCCTAGGTGTCCTGTTTGCAAACTTCTACATGGGTACCATCGAGCAAAAAGTCTTAGTCGACATGAACTTGAAACCGGCCATATACTGCATGTATGTTGACGACATTTTTACACAGGTACCTGATGTCAGACATCTGCAGGAGCTGAAGGAGGCATTTGAGCAGAGTTCTGTGCTGCGTTTCACTTACGAGACGGAAAAGGATGGGAAGCTGCCTTTTCTAGATGTAACAGTCATGGAAAAGGGCGGAGGTTTCCACACTGCAGTCTACACAAAGGAAACAAACATAGGAATGTGCCTAAATGCCAACAGCGACTGCCCTGACAGGTACAAGAGGAGTGTTGTTAACGCATACGTCGACCGTGCTCTCAGCCACAGCTCAGAATGGAAGCAAGTCGACGAAGAACTCTGTAGGGTAAGGCAGGTCCTAGTCAATAACGGCTTCTCCAATGGTTTCATCGAAGACATCATAAGAAGGAAAGTGAAAAGCCATGCAACCTCCGAAGAGACAACTAACACAACACCTATACCCCCTATTAGACTATTTTACAGGAACTTCTTTTCCACAGCTCATAAAACGGAGGAAAGGGTCCTGAAAGATATTGTTAATAGAAACGTTATCCCTACAGACAAAAATCAGAGGATACAACTGACGATTTACTATAAAACCAGAAAAACGGCCAGCCTACTCATGAGAAACTCTCCAGACACAAAACAGAACGCTTTAAAAGAGACTAACGTCGTCTATGCCTTCAAATGCCCACTTGGGGACTGTAAGCTCCAAAAAACCCAGTATATAGGCAAGACAACAACATCTCTTTCTAGGCGTTTAACGATGCATAAGCAACAGGGCTCCATTAAGGAACATATAATCTCTTCCCATAACCAAACCATCGCCAGAGAAATCCTAGTAAACAACACAGAAATCATCGATAGATACAGCGATAGCAGGCGGCTTGACGTTTGCGAGGCACTACACATCAAGAAGTCAACACCAGCAATCAACAGCCAATTATTGCACAACTATATTCTACCCACCTCAAGACTCCGCTCCAATATAGAAGCATCAAGAAATATGGACCAATAGGCTTTCTACAAACACTTCTATTCAATACCCATTGTTTCTGTTCTGTCTTGTATTGATACTTTTAATACCCTATTAATATCCCCTAGTGTTCTGTCTTGTGTTAATGCCACATCACCCTTCCCACCTCACTCAAATGTAGATATAAAATCAGAGAAACGCAAGTTCTAATCAGTTGTGTATTTGTGAAGTCTTTGAAAATGTAATAAGTTTTACGAAACGCGCCCGTGTCGCGTCAGACTAGAAATAAAAATGAATTTTGGAGAAGTGATTTTTGATTTACCTCCAACAGTGAAGCGTAATGTACGAAAGATTGAGAAAATTCGTGTTAGAATTATTAATCTTACTTTTTCGGTCATATTTAATAATATATGTCTACAGGAAAGACTGCTACCAAAATATACTAATATATATATATATATATATTTTTTGGCACGTATCTGGTAATTCCTAGACACGTGCCTTAACCGACTCTGCAACGATGGTACCATTATCGACCAACCCGGAATTCTACTGAACTGACTGGGAGGTTCAGGAGACCTCTAACCGGAGCCCAACCAGGATCTTACAGCCAACCCGACCACACTGTGACCTACAGTGGTGGCGACCACACTGTGACCTACAGTGGTGGCGACCATACTGTGACCTACAGTGGTGGCGACCACACTGTGACCTACAGTGGTAGCGACCACGCTGTGACCTACAGTGGTAGCGACCACACTGTGACCTACAGTGGTAGCGACCACACTGTGACCTACAGTGGCGGCGACCACACTGTGACCTACAGTGGTAGCGACCACACTGTGACCTACAGTGGTGGCGACCACACTGTGACCAACAGTGGTAGCGACCACACTGTGACCTTCAGTGGTAGCGACCACACTGTGACCTACAGTGGTAGCGACCACACTGTGACCTACAGTGGTGGCGACCACACTGTGACCTACAGTGGCGGCGACCACACTGTGACCTACAGTGGTAGCGACCACACTGTGACCTACAGTGGTGGCGACCACACTGTGACCTACAGTGGTAGCGACCACACTGTGACCTACAGTGGTAGCGACCACACTGTGACCTACAGTGGTAGCGACCACACTGTGACCTACAGTGGTAGCGACCACACTGTGACCTACAGTGGTAGCGACCACACTGTGACCTACAGTGGCGGCGACCACACTGTGACCTACAGTGGCGGCGACCACACTGTGACCTACAGTGGCGGCGACCACACTGTGACCTACAGTGGTAGCGACCACACTGTGACCTACAGTGGTAGCGACCACACTGTGACCTACAGTGGTAGCGACCACGCGCCCCCCCCCCACGACCACACTGTGACCTACAGTGGCGGCGACCATGCGCTACGCCCCCCCCCCCCACGACCACACTGTGACCTACAGTGGCGGCGACCATGCGCTACGCCCCCCCCCCACGACCACACTGTGACCTACAGTGGCGGCGACCATGCGCTACGCCCCCCCCCCACGACCACACTGTGACCTACAGTGGTGGCGACCATGCGCTACGCCCCCCCCACGACCACACTGTGACCTACAGTGGTAGCGACCATGCGCTACGCCCCCCCCCCCCCACGACCACACTGTGACCTACAGTGGCGGCGACCATGCGCTACGCCCCCCCCCCCACGACCACACTGTGACCTACAGTGGCGGCGACCATGCGCTACGCCCCCCCCCCCACGACCACACTGTGACCTACAGTGGCGGCGACCATGCGCTACGCCCCCCCCCCCCACGACCACACTGTGACCTACAGTGGTGGCGACCATGCGCTACGCCCCCCCCACGACCACACTGTGACCTACAGTGGTAGCGACCATGCGCTACGCCCCCCCCCCCCACGACCACACTGTGACCTACAGTGGCGGCGACCATGCGCTACGCCCCCCCCCCACGACCACACTGTGACCTACAGTGGTGGCGACCATGCGCTACGCCCCCCCCCCCACGACCACACTGTGACCTACAGTGGTAGCGACCATGCGCTACGCCCCCCCCCCCACGACCACACTGTGACCTACAGTGGCGGCGACCATGCGCTACGCCCCCCCCCCCCACGACCACACTGTGACCTACAGTGGTAGCGACCATGCGCTACGCCCCCCCCCCACGACCACACTGTGACCTACAGTGGCGGCGACCATGCGCTACGCCCCCCCCCCCCACGACCACACTGTGACCTACAGTGGTGGCGACCATGCGCTACGCCCCCCCCCCACGACCACACTGTGACCTACAGTGGTAGCGACCATGCGCTACGCCCCCCCCCCCCCACGACCACACTGTGACCTACAGTGGTAGCGACCATGCGCTACGCCCCCCCCCCACGACCACACTGTGACCTACAGTGGTAGCGACCATGCGCTACGCCCCCCCCCCCACGACCACACTGTGACCTACAGTGGTGGCGACCATGCGCTACGCCCCCCCCCCACGACCACACTGTGACCTACAGTGGTGGCGACCATGCGCTACGCCCCCCCCCCCACGACCACACTGTGACCTACAGTGGTGGCGACCATGCGCTACGCCCCCCCCCCCCCCCACGACCACACTGTGACCTACAGTGGTAGCGACCATGCGCTACGCCCCCCCCCCCCACGACCACACTGTGACCTACAGTGGTAGCGACCATGCGCTACGCCCCCCCCCCCCCACGACCACACTGTGACCTACAGTGGTAGCGACCATGCGCTACGCCCCCCCCCCCCCCACGACCACACTGTGACCTACAGTGGTAGCGACCATGCGCTACGCCCCCCCCCCCCACGACCACACTGTGACCTACAGTGGTAGCGACCATGCGCTACGCCCCCCCCCCCCCCCCCCACGACCACACTGTGACCTACAGTGGTAGCGACCATGCGCTACGCCCCCCCCCCCCACGACCACACTGTGACCTACAGTGGTAGCGACCACGCGCTACGCCCCCCCCCCCCCCCACGACCACACTGTGACCTACAGTGGTAGCGACCATGCGCTACGCCCCCCCCCCCCCCAGATAACAGTGAATGGCGAGATAAATCATTAAAAATTGTTTGAGTCAATGATGTCCAGTTTTGTACCGTCGCTGTTTGTGTCGGTTATTTTGATGTTGTTTGTCATGATAGTTCTGGTAATGATGTGGTTATGTGTAGAGACTTCTGGCCTCTTGTACCTCACTTCTGGCCTCTTGTACCTCACTTCTGGCCTCTTGTACCTCACTTCTGGCCTCTTGTACCTCACTTCTGGCCTCTTGTACCTCACTTCTGGCCTCTTGTACCTCACTTCTGGCCTCTTGTACCTCACTTCTGGCCTCTTGTACCGCACTTCTGGCCTCTTGTACCGCACTTCTGGCCTCTTGTACCTCACTTCTGGCCTCTTGTACCTCACTTCTGGCCTCTTGTACCGCACTTCTGGCCTCTTGTACCTCACTTCTGGCCTCTTGTACCGCACTTCTGGCCTCTTGTACCGCACTTCTGGCCTCTTGTACCTCACTTCTGGCCTCTTGTACCTCACTTCTGGCCTCTTGTACCTCACTTCTGGCCTCTTGTACCTACCTCACTTCTGGCCTCTTGTACCTCACTTCTGGCCTCTTGTACCGCACTTCTGGCCTCTTGTACCGCACTTCTGGCCTCTTGTACCTCACTTCTGGCCTCTTGTACCTCACTTCTGGCCTCTTGTACCTCACTTCTGGCCTCTTGTACCTCACTTCTGGCACTTCTGGCCTCTTCTCACTCTTGTACCGCACTTCTGGCCTCTTGTACCTCACTTCTGGCCTCTTGTACCTCTCTTCTGGCCTCTTGTACCGCACTTCTGGCCTCTTGTACCTCACTTCTGGCCTCTTGTACCGCACTTCTGGCCTCTTGTACCGCACTTCTGGCCTCTTGTGCCGCACTTCTGGCCTCTTGTACCTCACTTCTGGCCTCTTGTACCGCACTTCTGGCCTCTTGTACCTCACTTCTGGCCTCTTGTACCTCACTTCTGGCCTCTTGTACCGCACTTCTGGCCTCTTGTACCTCAATCTGGCCTCTTCTACCGCACTTCTGGCCTCTTGTACCGCACTTCTGGCCTTTTGTACCGCAATTCTGGCCTCTTGTACCGCACTTCTGGCCTATTGTACCGCACTTCTGGCCTCTTGTACCACACTTCTGGCCTCTTGTACCGCACTTCTGGCCTCTTGTACCGCACTTCTGGCCTCTTGTACCTCACTTCTGGCCTCTTGTACCGCACTTCTGGCCTCTTGTACCGCACTTCTGGCCTCTTGTACCTCACTTCTGGCCTCTTGTACCGCACTTCTGGCCTCTTGTACCTCACTTCTGGCCTCTTGTACCGCACTTCTGGCCTATTGTACCGCACTTCTGGCCTCTTGTACCTCACTTCTGGCCTCTTGTACCGCACTTCTGGCCTCTTGTACCTCACTTCTGGCCTCTTGTACCTCACTTCTGGCCTCTTGTACCGCACTTCTGGCCTCTTGTACCTCACTTCTGGCCTCTTGTACCTCACTTCTGGCCTCTTGTACCTCACTTCTGGCCTCTTGTACCGCACTTCTGGCCTCTTGTACCTCACTTCTGGCCTCTTGTACCGCACTTCTGGCCTCTTGTACCTCACTTCTGGCCTCTTGTACCTCACTTCTGGCCTCTTGTACCGCACTTCTGGCCTCTTGTACCGCACTTCAGGCCTCTTGTACCTCACTTCTGGCCTCTTGTACCTCACTTCTGGCCTCTTGTACCGCACTTCTGGCCTCCTGTACCGCACTTCTGGCCTCTTGTACCTCACTTCTGGCCTCTTGTACCGCACTTCTGGCCTCTTGTACCGCACTTCTGGCCTCTTGTACCTCACTTCTGGCCTCTTGTACCGCACTTCTGGCCTCTTGTACCTCACTTCTGGCCTCTTGTACCGCACTTCTGGCCTATTGTACCGCACTTCTGGCCTCTTGTACCGCACTTCTGGCCTCTTGTACCTCACTTCTGGCCTCTTGTACCTCACTTCTGGCCTATTGTACCGCACTTCTGGCCTCTTGTACCTCACTTCTGGCCTCTTGTACCGCACTTCTGGCCTCTTGTACCGCACTTCTGGCCTATTGTACCGCACTTCTGGCCTATTGTACCGCACTTCTGGCCTATTGTATCGCACTTCTGGCCTATTGTACCGCACTTCTGGCCTATTGTACCACACTTCTGGCCTCTTGTACCGCACTTCTGGCCTATTGTACCGCACTTCTGGCCTATTGTACCGCACTTCTGGCCTCTTGTACCGCACTTCTGGCCTCTTGTACCGCACTTCTGGCCTCTTGTACCTCACTTCTGGCCTCTTGTACCTCACTTCTGGCCTCTTGTACCTCACTTCTGGCCTCTTGTACCGCACTTCTGGCCTCTTGTACCGCACTTCTGGCCTCTTGTACCGCACTTCTGGCCTATTGTACCGCACTTCTGGCCTATTGTACCGCACTTCTGGCCTATTGTACCGCACTTCTGGCCTATTGTACCGCCAGCTGGATTCATCTAGTTGTACTCACCTAGTTGTGCTTGCGGGGGTAGAGCTCTGCTCATTCGGCCCGCCTCGCTACTGTCAATCAATCAACGATCATTTTTATTCACACACACGCATACCCTTAGAAAGCAGCCCGTAACAGCGGTCTAACTCCCAGAAACCTATTTAATGCTAGGTGAACAGGGTGAAAGAAAATTTGCCCATTTGTTTTCCGCCATCGCCAGGGATCGAACCCCGGTCCCCAAGATTACGAGTCCTGAGTGCTGTCCACTCAGCCACCAGGCGCCCTGTGTAATTATTTCATTGAATCTAGTGTACTGGAAGACATCCTAACAATCTATCCTAAATTTGCTTGTCCATTTTATAGAATGAAGAACAATTTTATTTATTTTATATTAAAGCTGCATCACTTATGAACCTATCCCGGCCCCTGTGTGGCAGTGAACAATTCAATGTTGTTTTTATATATTCGTACATTGAAACATATATTTATATATATATATATATATATATATATATATATATATATATATATATATATATATCAATTGGTCCCCAGGACTATATGCAACTGAAAACTCACACCACAGAAGTGACTCGAACCCATAGTGCCAGGAGCAACGCAAATGGTATGTACAGGACGCCTTAATCCGCTTGACCACCACGACCGGACATAAGGAAGTGATAGCCGAGGCTATTTGAACTACCCCCCGCCCCGCCGGCACCGTGATGGTAATCTTTCCGGGTGTCAGTGGGGGGGGGGGTGGTTCAAATAGCTTCGACTATCACCTCCTTATGTCCGGTCGT